AAAAAAAAAAAAAAAAACAAACACCACATTTTAGCATCCATCGGGTATGAGCACGACGGATCCGGTCGTCTTCCTGTTCTCAAGGTCCTCATGGGCCTGGGCCGCTTGAGACAATGGGTACGTATGATTTACTCGGGCCCGTAAGATGCCCGAGCCCGCATTGGTGAATACCTCGGATGCTGTCTGCAGAAGTTCGTCCCGAGTCACTGTGTATTGCATTAAGGTGGGCCTTGTCAAGAACAGGGATTTGGCCGCCAGTGCCGCCAGTGGGATTGGGTCGGGACTGCCAGACGACTGCCCGAAACTCACCATGTATCCACGGAACTTCAAGCATGCCAGTGATCCCTAAACACACGATTTGCTTGTTAGAAGATGAGAGAAAACTGAAGCTCGTTTTAGCTTTTAAGTGAAATCATATAAAAAATTAACAGTTCACAAGAAGTACCCCTGAGATCTGGAATATCTATAGATTTGGCAGATTCTGAAAATTAGAAACTTTCCTTTTTGAGTTTTGATTCAGTCATGAAAATAAAGGGGGTTCATTCAATGTGATATTGTAATAACTGGTAAAAGCGAATATGGAAACCTTTCTACGAAGAGCAATGTAAGGCATGGGGGTCTATTTGTGATTTTATAACTTCTTTGGGATCTCTTTTGCAAATACTCAAGCCTTAGAGCCAGCCGCAAGACAGACTTTTGTAATTCTCTTGAAATAAATGGCAATTGCAGAAACTATCCACATAAAGAACTTGAAAATGAGTTTTGTAACCAAGAAAACCACTCGACGCTTGTATTTTCCCAACAAATAGTCACTCAACCCTTAAAAAAAGAGGTAATTCCAATGGAAAGTCAAATGCCATGCGGGATTTTTGTAATTACGAAAACCAGTCGGCTTCCTGTAAGTAATTATCGACTAAGCTAAGCTGCAGGACAATTGTATGTATTAAACATCAAACAATTAAAACAAGAAAGAAAAGACCATCCCACATCTCATATACAGAGGTTCAAATCGAGACCCCCCTTCAGTCCTATTTTCACCCGTCGGGGAGAAAAATATTCATTTAACCAAAATTAGCTCATTACCTCAAAAGTGTCCTTCCCAACAGAGTCGTATACAACTTCAACGCCTTTACCGGATGTTATCTCGTTGACACGTGTAACAAAATCTTCTTCTTTATACAATATGACATGGCGGCACCCATCTTCTTTAGCTTGATCTGCCTTCTCCTTTGTAGAGACTGTCCCAATAACAGTGGCCCCAAGTGCATTTGCCCACTGGCACAAAAGGGACCCCACCCCACCGGCTGCTGCGTGAATCAGGACTGTGTGCCCTGACTCGACCTGCAAAAACAGTGACAATGGGAAATGGAGTTAGATGATGTCCATATGGAAGGGCTCGGTAGAGTGTTCCTTTTTTATGAACTTTGAAACAATAATATGGAAAGAAACAGACTGAAAATTAGTGCGATTGGATATGCTTTTGATGAGATAGAATCCTTCCTCTAGAGAAAAGTGTTTCGGACAAATTTTAAGGAGAAACAGAATTATTTGAAAAGCGTGATTGAATGAATATGTGATAAAAATGTAATGATACTGTAAAAAGAATAAAATAATGAGTGGTAGTTGGAATTTGGAAATATGTGAGCTGATTACCGGTGAATTTTATCTAGGGAGATGAGTGAATAGTGGCTAGCTGATTTCTTAAGAAATTTTTTCTAGTGAAATGAATAGTATAAAATTTTGGTACCCAATAGCATCCTTAGATTTGAGGATTTCTTGGAGTGGCACAAATGAAGCATTTCCTATCTATTTCTCACCTTTTTCGTTTTTTTCTTTTTTGTCATATTCATCATAGTTTATCTTTTAGATGGTCCAATCGAGGGGAATCATGTAAATCAAAAATTCGTTACAAAACGTTAAGGTCGCATGCTCATGAAACTGACAACAACGGTTAATGTTATCAATGTCGGATGGTGGAAAATGGCGGGAGGTTCAAATCCCGCCGGGAGGCCTATGGATGACTAAGAAAGTTTTGGTTATAATGATAAGGAAACCAACTGATAACAACTTCCCTTTCGACAAAAAATGTTAAAAGTATTATTCTTATCTGAGCAAATCACATGTAACATTGCTTGGTCAAAAAGCAAATCAGGAAAAAAAACAGAGAATCTTGGTTGGGATAACAAATATAACGCAATGCAATTTTTTTTTTTTTGGCAACATGACCTTAACAAATCATCGACAGATTAGGATGTGAGGATAACAGGAAACCTACTTTAAAACATCGGCGGAGAAGAAATTGAGCAGTCATTCCCTTGAGCATGATGGATGCTGCTACAATGGGATCGATTGAAGGAGGCACAGGCACCACTTTTTCAGCAGGAAGGATTTGTTCCTCCGCATAAGCGCCCATTGGAAGACCTGCATAAGCAACAACATCCCCAACTTTTCTTCCAGTAAGTCCGGGCCCTACAGCTGTCACCACACCAACAGCCTCCATTCCTGTCATCAAGAAAGTTCACAGTAAGGTTATGTAGAGGCATACATACAGTCCAGTACAAGAGCTTACAGAATTCTTATATTAACTGAAAAAAAATTGATCTAAATTTGCAGCCCATCTCAAAGAAAAAAAGGAAAGAGCAATTTTTATTTTTATTTTTTAAAAAATATGCTTTTAAATGAAAGACTGCATGCGATACGGCGCTTTGTGCGGAGATGTGAAAAACAATATGGATGGATTATAACAGGTGACAGATTAATAAAAGAACTCCCACAATGGGCTGATCAGTTTGTATATAAGAAAATAAGAAAGAATATGGACCAGGAGTGAAGGGTATTGTTGGAGCCTTGTAAACCCCTTTCCGAAAATAAACATCGATGAAGTTCAAGCCGATGGCTTTATTCTTCACTCTGATCTCTCCATCTTTAGGCTCCCCAATTTCCACATCCTCCCATTTCAGGACCTGTATTCAAATGAACACAATAGTAAGTAAAGAAAATCAGGATTTCCAATCTGATGTATATATAACCATCAACGAAATGCATTGGCTAGAAAATGAAATATTAAATAACTCCACTACAGCTTACATGCCCACAATTTAAGTTCAACAGTAAGAGATGATGAACATTGATGCCAAGATCGGAGAATTTTAACCATGTATGGAAAAAGGGGAAAAATAGAATCTCCAGAGCATCAACAAATCGGAAATGGAAGGTGTTGAAGCTAAGAGAAAGCTCTCAGGATTGGTCTCTGAGAAATTGAGGAGAGTCAAAAGAAGTTTTATCTGGGATGTTCCATAAACCTAAAACTAACTTTCTCGTAATAAATGATAGACCAAGGGAAATAAGAGAAGCATCAAATCCGGTATGTAATAAAAGAAGAAAACAACTATGTGTGTGCTAAGAATGTACCTCAGACCACACAGGTCACTTCAATCAGAGGCAAAATAATATTTGATACAAATTTCCATTAGCATCCCCCTTAAACAGAATAGAAAGATCAAGAAGTTATGCAATGTCTATAAGATACTTCTTGAACCAAACACAATCCCCAAGCCCTAATCGTAGCCTGCAATGTGCAGACTCTAATTTAAGCAAAACAATCATGGCAAGACAGTCGAGACAAACATTAAGGCTTAATTGCAACATTGGTTCCTTAACAGCGCCTTTTTTTAGCAATTTCAGTGAGTAAAAATTTGATGTGGCAATCTCAGTCCTATGAAAAAGAATAAATGATACTTTGCACTTGTAGACACAAAAAGTTCAGCAAAAGCAACTTTGTCAAACAATATATGATTTTGTACATTTGTGGTTCCCAACCGGTTTTCTCAGTAGTTCGCATACTCCCAAAAGATCAAATACTGTTGAATGCCAGAATACACAAAATACCACAGATCAATTGGACTTGCTATATGGAGTAAAATTACCAACACTCAACACTCAGGGAACTGAATTTTGCAATTACATCAAAATCAATCTCGGTACATGGGGAGATGGCAAACACAACAGAGCCCGAGAACAACGTAAATACAAGCTCATGCTAGAGATGATAGTGAACAAAAAGTCGAAACAAAATTGCTTTTCTCCATCCAAAATCACAAATGACAAAATCTCATGTTACCAAAAACATGGAAATTAAGAATCAAAATTGCTACCAGAAGACATGAACTAAATCTGCCAACCCCTCAACAATCAGGGTACAGATTTTGCAATTAAATCAAAATTAATCTCAGTACATGGGGAGATGGCAAACACAGTAGAATCCAAGAAAACCACAAACCCAAGCTCAAGCTACATATGATTGTCAGCAAAAAGTCCAAAAATTATAAAATTATTTTCTCAATCCAAAATCATAGATGACAAAAACTCTCGAGTTACTAACATCGCGCAAGAATAATCTACACGCGCAGAAAAAAAAAAAAGGAAAAAAAAAACAAAGAAAAAAGATGATACCTCGGGGCCACCGAGTTCATGGACCCTTATAGCTTTAACCATGTTCGATGCTGCTGTTGATGAACAACAAATTCTCTTTACTGCTGTCTTATTTTGAACTGGAATAGCAAAAGGGGTGTTCTTGGTGAGAACCCTTTGAAACAGATTGAGCGAGGATGAGGCCCACGGGAAGGATTTTTGAAGAAAATGGTGCTGATGACGGAAAGTTGCGATCTTGGATAAAACCATCAGATGAGAGCAAAATTATATTGTGATCAAACCTGATGAGAGATAAAAGAAAAAGGTGGAAAAATGAAAGAAAAAAAAAATATTATCAAGAGTAATTAACAGCGTTGAATAAAAAAAAATTACATTTTTTTAATAAAAGAAAAAAAAAATTGAATAAAAGAAAAAAAATGATTTTATTTTTAAGTTTTGAATATATCCTAACCAAGTTGTAGGAGTATTAATGACTATTTACATTTAATAAAATAATTGACTTTATTCATTCTGTATTTTGATACATTTTTTATTTATATTTTATAATGTTATTTATAGAAAACACTATATTGAATAGAGAACAAAATTAGTTTCGAATTTTTCAATTTATTAATACTCTTATTAAATTACTATTATATTTTCTATATATAAGTTAGTTTCTCTCATATATTATATTTTTTAAGTAACTTAAAGTTATAATATTTGGTGATTTAAAACATAAATTAATATGTACAAGTGTAATAATTTTTAAATTTTATGAAATATAAAAATATTTTAATTTATGATATTCATTTATTATTATTTTTTTTCAATATCATAATGACAAGTGACAACAATATACTTTATTCAAGTTTTAAATATTTCTTAATATTTATAGTTTTATTTGATATGTTACAATTTAGTTTGATAAAATGAATTCTGAATACCATATATAAAAAAAATGTACATTTAATTTATTTTAACTTCGGGCCATGATCATATCCAACTAAAAATCTTCATTTTGACTTTTATATTAAATTATTGTGGCCATGATCATGTCCAACTAATCTTCATTTTGGACTTTTAAATTTAATTATGTGAATTTCACCATCCTAAAAGCCATAAAGATTCTTCCTAGTTAATTTCAATATCTATCTGTTTAATTTTATGCCCTTAAAATTAAATGTTTTTTTTTTTTTTTTCGGTACAAAAGAGGAGGTCTAGTCCTAGGCTAGGACTCGACGAGGGTACGACACCCCAATAATATCATGCTCCAGCCAATCGCCCATACCGCTCGGGGGGGCGACAAGTCTCTGAAAACCGACCAGGAAAGACGCTGTCAGCCCCGCCAGATAGTCGGCTGCGAAATTTGCTTCCCGGTGCACATGTTGGACTCTAACGGTCTATTCTCTCTGAATGGGCTCACGAATTGCCTTAACCATTGAACTATGGGCGCCATTACTTTCCTCGTAGCTACATGCCAATTTTACCACGCAGAGACTATCTACCTCAGCAACCACTTTTCGATATCCCAGATTTTCAACAATGGGAATTTAAAACAACACAATCTAAAATAGGACAACTTAATTATTTAATAATCATCAATGTTGAAAAAGAGAAAATAGCAAGTCAAAAAGGAGATTATCCTTTGAATTAGTAAATGCATGCATTTTTATTTAATTAAGATAGCTCTTTAAATTCAAAGTCTTGTGCATACTCTCAAGTAAACAAATAGGTACACTGTACACAACACAGTACATATATTGATGTATAGAGTACAACCCACACCATCATATATTCACCACAAATTACAAACAATCATATTACGGTTGGCCGGCCGCCGGCAACCGTAAGGTGCCAAGACAAGCTGCATGCAAAACTATATTAAACTAACAAGTAACAAAATTAAACACTTATTCATATCCTTACTAATTGATATGCATCCCCCATGCAATTTTCAAATGAGAATTACATTGGACGCTACAAAATTTAGTTTTATACTTCAAACAACAATACTTAAGCACATGATCACTCTTAAAACCTAATAGTTAAGGATATTCAGAAAGGGGAATCGAGCCAGCTCGATTACTCATACTCTCAAAGATAGTTAACCACGGATCGATAAGTTCCACCGGGAGTCCAACCAACTGGAATCACGTTTTTAGCCACTAAAGTCCGGCCCGAATATTGAGATGTCAATCGAACTGAGAACGGAGGGTTGAGCTTCGACCCGGGGTTCAACTGCCAAACAGCGCCCCAGGATTGGTCCATTTCCCACCACTCGCTAGGCTCATTTGAGGCTTGTTGCAGCTCCACCCGGGCCAGGTCCCCATCTCCTTCTTCGAATTCGATTACCATTGCAATGTAGTTAGGGTTTGACCCCGGGTCAATCCTAAACACAATGTTTTTCCCGGCATAGTCACATGCAACACTGCAATTGAATAAGAAAAAATAAAATAGGGGCATAATAATAATAATAATAATAATAATAATAATAATAATAATAATAATAATAATAATAATAATAATAATAATAT